AAAAATGGGCAAAGGACTTGAACAGACATTTCTCCAAAGATGATATACAAATGGCCAACAAGCATGTGAAAAGATGCTCAATATCACTAATCATCAGAGGAATGCAAATTGAAATTACAATGACATATCATCTCACATCCATTAGAAAGGCTGTTACTTTAAAAAAACACACAGAATAAGTGTTGGCGAGGATTGGAGAAATTGTACACTGCTGGGAGGAGTGTGAAATGGTGCAGCCACTATGAAAGACAGTATGGAGGTTTCTTTTTTTTTTTTTTCCTTTTTGTCTTTTTCCGTGTCCGGCAACGGATCGCAACCCTCAGTGTCGCCCCCGTACCAGACCGGGACCGGCAACGGGATCGCAACCCTCGGTGTCGCTCCCGCGCCTTGCTCAGCCAGTGAGCGGGAACCGGTCTGTATGTGGGATCCGAACCCTCGGCTGGAGCGCCACCACGCTCCCAACCAGCGCACTATAGCAGTGCGCCACCGGGCCGGCCCGGAGGTTTCTTAAATTAAAAATAGAACTACCATATGATCCAGCAATCCTAATTCTGGGTATACATCCAAAAGAATTGAAAGCAAGATCTTGAGGGATACTTGCACACCCACATTCATAGCAGCGGTATTCACAACAGCCAAGAGGTGGAAGCAACCCAATGTCCATCGATGGATAAATGGATAAACAAATGTGTATATCCATGCAATGAAATATCATTCAGTCTGAAAAAGTGAGAAAATTCTGATTCGACCTACAACACAGATGAGCCCTGAGGGCATTATGCTAAATGAAATAAGCCAGTCACAAAAAGACAAATACTGTATGATTCCACCTACATGAGGTATCTAGAGTAGTCAAATTAACAGAGACAGAAAGTAGAACGGGGGTTTCCAGGGACTGGGAAGAGGGGGAAATAGGGAGTTGTCATTTAATGGGTACAGGGTTTCATATTTGCAACATAAAAAATTCTAGAGATCTGTTTCACGATAATTTTTTTTTTTTCTTTTTGTCTTTTTTCGTGACTGGCAACGGATCGCAACCCTCAGTGTCGCGCCCGTACCGGACCGGGACCGGCAACGGGATCGCAACCCTTGGTGTTGCCCCCGCACCTCGCTCAGCCAGTGAGCGGCCGGTCTGCATGTGGGATCCGAACCCTCGGCGGGAGCGCCACCGCGCTCACAAGCGGCGCACTGTAGCAGTGCGCCACCGGGCCGGCCCTGTTTCACGATAATTTAACACTACTGAACCGTATGCTTAAAAATGGTTAAGAAGGTAGATTGTATGTTGCATGTGTGTTTTTTTTTTTTTTTACCACAATAAAAACCAAACCAAAAGAAAAGTACGCATTATGAAAGCAGTTTCAATATTCAGCTACCATCTAATATTCTCATCACGTATGACAGACCGGGACATATAAAGGGACAGCCCAATAATTTTAAGTGGAGGTCCACAGCTTGTTTTGGTTGTCCTTCAGGCAAACAAAATGTAAGCTAAAGCCTTCTGGGAAGAGTTTAATTGATTATGCCATGATAATATTAACATTAGCTTTAAAAATTAGTGTATGTAGCACACTGTGCTAAAATGACGAAGCTCTAGTCCCACATCTCTTACTGACCAGCTGTTATATTTTAGGCCTTTGCCCTTTCTGTCTTCCCTTCTTCCTCCTCTCTAAAATAGTTTGGACTAGATGATTCCAAGTTGGCAGATTTTATGATTTTCTTCACTACTGGGAAAGCAACAACAAATATATTTCCTTCTTTTGCAACATGCTTTCAGGTACCTGGACACAATGCACTATAAAAGTGCAAAGATGTCATCATTTTTGTACTTTTGACAAACATGCAATAAAGAATGGCTACTTATATAAACATAAATTAAGATGGCAGGATCGAACAGTGAACATAAACAAAAGACACAAAAGGAGGCTGATGGCAGTGCGAAGATGACGAGCCCACACCATTCTCCTAAGGACATGTGTCCCTCCACCCCAGCAGTAAGGCTCAGGTGACTGCTGTAGGTTCAGGACCAAGCTTGCAGACCCTCTGGTGTGGGCTGGATTCAGTCATACATTTCTAGGGTCCACAGGGCATCCTCCTCTCTAGCGCTCCCCTTATTTATAGACTGACACACCAGATGTTCCAATGAATGTGTCATGCATCCAGCTGGCTCTCCACTTGCTGAGTAATTCAATGAGGTAAATTTTGCTGGAGTTGGTGGTCTTGACGCACAGATGCAGGAAGTGGAACATGACTGTGTGCCTTCTATTTTGCAATAGGCAAGTTTTGTTTTGTTTTTAACTTAAGGGCTTTGATTCTGATATTCTCCTTCTGGATCATTCTTCTGCCCACTGGCTGGATTCCTGGTCAGACTATTCTGACTGCATTAATTTATCTAGTCCTGTCTGTAAAAGCAACAGCAAATAAAAATTGCTCATAAAGGATTCCATGCCACTGAGAGGCAAGCAGTTTAACTGCTCAGTGGGAATTTGAAGTAGCTTTGGATGGGCTTCTGCATGCAGTGAAGTGAAAGATCTCAGGAAAAGCTGGCTGGCTCTAGCCAGCTTTCTCACTAACAGGAGCCCTTACCATCTGAAAATCAAATGTCACCGATTACTGCCAAACTTTAGTAACTAATTAATGACCATGATTTGCTCTACTTCCTAAGAGTTAAAGGTCAACTGTAAGGCAGGAAAAATCTTTTGTCCATCAGTATTTTCCCCTTTACAGATACAAGGTGATGCCATAAACTTCCTCAAAACTGTACATAATGCCAAATCCTACCGAGACTATGCTGACAGCTGGCTAAGTCAAACCTAAAGCAAAAATGTGACATTTAGGATCGGGTTGCACATACAAATGAAGGAAATACTGCAATTCTATAGAAAATCCCTAGTCTGTGGGGAAAAACAAGGTTTTCAGCATTGAGGATCCTGCTTGGCCTACAGTACAGAGCCATTGTCTAATAGGAGGCAATCAGACCAGAAGGAAAAGATCTGTCCGAGAGAAGCGTGGCTCTCTGGCATGCAATCTTGGCCATTCTGCTTGGATCACCTCATCCTGCCACACCCATTGCTCTCAGATATCGATTTTCCAAAAGAAATGTGTCCATATGTATACAAAAACCATGCACATGAATGTTCATAGCAGCCCTGTACTTAGTATCCCTAAACTGGGAACAACCTAAAGGTCCATAAGCAGTAAACTAGATAAATAAATAGTGACATATCCATACAATGGAATACTCTACAGCAATGAGAATGAATGAACTACTGATACAACAGCATAGCTAAATCTCATGAATACGATTATGAAGGTATTTGTGCATGTATATCCATTTATCAAACCCATCAAATTATATACGTAAGATCTGTGCATTTCACTGACTGCAAATTTTACCTCGATTTAAAGAGAGGAAGATGTGACCTCTTATGTGTTATGAGCCTCCCGAAGCTATGCGCCCCTGTTTTGCTGCTGTTCTGCAGATGCTGCCAGGGGCAGGTCAATAATCTGTAGCCTAATCCAGCTGTTGAAGCAAAGCAGAGCCTCTGAAACTGGGAAATCAGACATAAGAGTCCTCTAAGTTAGCTCACCTCTAACTCTGTGGCTCTTAAGCCAATTTAAGTACTTTCCCAGAGTGCTGTGCTTTATGATTCGACATGACTAATTCTCGGCTCAGGCAGAGGACAAGCCCAGCAGGGAATGTATCTGTGCATGGTTCTCACAGTATTCACCCAATGCTGCTCCTCTTCCTAAATATTATCAGTGGAGAAAGGGAAACTGTAGAGCTAAGATATTTAGGCACCTGGGATTTTGTGAGGTTGAATGTGGCAAACTCCTAGTTATCCTCCAAATCCACAGTAGCCAAGTTTGGATGGAGACATGGCCACTTAGCTAGAGACTAAATTTCCCAGCTTCCCTTGCAGCTACTTGGGGTCATGTGACTGAGTTCTCACCAACAGAATGTGAGTAGAGCTGGCATATATAAATTCTACTTGCTTTAAAGGAAATCACTTCCCCCCCGCCCACACCAGCACTTCATAGGCTGGACCTAGCTTGAACTATGCAGGTAAAGACAACCTCTTGGGAGATGAAAGAGCCACAAAATGGTTGGATGCTAAGTTCCTGAACAGCTCCTAGAGTAGTGCTGTGCCACTAGCCTGATCCACTAACCTCTAGACTGCTATGTAAAAGAGAAATGTCAGTCTTAATTAAATCATTGCACCTGGGGTCTCTTTGTTATAGCATCTTAGCTAATACCCCTGGCACTTAAGATTTTGAGGCTTGTGGTCTCCAGGCAGAGATTTCCAAGTTTCACACACTCTACTTAGCTCAGCAATTTGAATTGCCAAGTTCATATTATATTAGTATATAAAGACAGCACCCTCTTTTCCTATCATACGACGTTAATCCCGTTGTTTAAACTAGACCCTCGCCCCCCGTCTACAGGATACTATTAACTCATTTTTGTACACAAGGTGCCTTTCAAGACATGGTCCCACCCCCATGCTTAGTCTCATTGCCTGCATTTGCTTCACCTGCATCTCGTGTTCTAGTCACACTGGATGTTCCTTGAACATGCTTTGCACATGAAGAACTCTATACTCACACTTCTGGTCTGGCCAAATGCAATGGTCTTTGCACCATCCCTCCATCCCCTACTCTCTCCCATCCATGAGGTAATAAAATTAAGTCTTCAACACCCAGAAACCCCCCAGGCAGAAAGACTCCCTCCCTCCGCTATACTTCCATAGCACTATAGATAAACCTTCATTAAGCTGTTTATCACCCTAAGCTATTAGGATTTATTTATGTGTCTGATCTCACAACTAGAATATATGTTCCAAAGACAAGGTCCCTGAGGACAAAGACCATGCCTTGCCCATCTTCATAACCCTGGCATTTAGCACATGTCCTGGCTCAAACCTGATGAGCTAAAATGAAAGAAGGAAGCAGAATTCAACAGGTGACATGTTTCAAAACTATATGGACATTATCATTCTTACCGATTCAGTGCAAATGCATAGTGGAATTTAATATTATGCTGATCGGCCAAATCACACGTAGGCAGCATCTCCAGTGTTTCAACCAGCTTCACCATCGCATCATAGTCCTGTTGGCAAGAGGTCCCAAGATGAGAAAGAGAGAAAACATAGCTCTTCACAGATTTTTCTGAATAATTATTAACATAAAACAGCCTCAGCACATACAGACAGGCCTTTTCTTACGGAAGGTATTAGTGAAGTTACTCATAGCTTTTAACAGAACACAAAAAAGATCAGAAAACAAGAAGGATGAGAGAGAGATGGACGAGAAGGAATCCCTGCCGTCAAAGGGCACAAAGTGATCTAGGGAAAGGGGTTAAATCCAAAGGCAACAAAAGAAAGGCAATGAGCCCAACAGCCAGGAAAAAGCTGCCTTGTTTTGCACATAGGAGAATTAATGCCACCTGCAGAGCTGGGTGTTAAAATGAGCTGAAAACATACAGACAAGAAAACTTACAGTCAACTTCCCATGTAAATCCCAGTCCTTTCTATTTTGCCAGAATCAAACTAACTTAAACCAGGATTTCTCAACCTCAGCACTATTGACATTTTGGGACTGGGTCGTTCTCTGTTGTGGGACTGTCCCGTGCACTGTAGTATATTCAGCAGCGTTCTTGGCCTTGACCCACTAGAAGCCAGTAGCACTCCCCGGTCCCCTCAGTTTTGACCACTAAAAATGTCTCCAGAAACTGCCAAGTGTCCCTGGGTTGAGAACCACTGCTCTAAACTCTGCATAATTACCCAGGGGAAAATTGCTACCATGTTTGTCTCAGCTGGGTCCCCTCTTAGCAGCACCACCTGTGTTGCCTTTTCAGCCAGGCTTAGACTCCTTGATACTGGCCAGCTCGCTGCCAGCCAGCTTCAGCAGTGGAGGGCTTGCTTCCCACTGCAATCCCATGCCTGTCTTGTGGCTCTGCACCTTGACACTGCTGCCCCGGGAAAGAGAAGGCAGTGTATTCCAGGAATCTCTTGGTTCCCCTTTGAGCCTAAGAGTCCCACCAATGGAAGATTATGAAATGAAGGGATGCATGAAGTCAGGGAAGAAGGAAGCCAGCAGCTCAAGGGAAGAAAGACTTCAAGAAAGTCTTTCTCACCATCTTGTCCCATGGGGCATGATTTAATCATTATCCTAATCCCTAGTAGCATCTGCTATGAAAATCAGATGCGTCTACTTATCACTAGGGGCATGAGTTCCTTAGTGGTTGACTTTGTTCTTGGTCCAGGTCATAAGTGGATGCCTCCACCATGTGGCTTTAAAGACCTGTGGCCAACATCCTCCAACACGGCTTTGTAGAATTCTACAAAGTAAGTACCTTACTCTACAAGTAATGTACATTACCCTGTGCTCCTTCAAAGAGAAGGGAGGCAAGACTCCCTCAGAAATGGCTCAATGGCATTAAACTTGGTGGAAGGAAATGCTCAATTTCTGTCATGGTACCACACCCCACAAACTCTGTCTTAAGAACTCTCCAGTAGCTTCCAGAGCTTGTCTTAGAGTAAACCCTGCATTCCCTGGGTCCTGAATGTGCCTCTGCCACTCCTGTTCTCCCTGTCACTGATGAGTGGTGGTAAACAAAGAAGGAAGTGACAAGGCCTAAAGGAAGTAGCATAGCAGAGGTTAAGAACAAGAACAGAGCCAGTCGGCCTCAATTTGAATCCTGACCTCACCAACTGCTGTATGACCTGGGACAAGTTACTTAACTTCTCTGTGGGGATAATCAGAGTAGACATACTCCGCAGGGTTGTTGGCAGGATTAAACGAATTAGGATTTGCAAAGGACTTAGAACAATGCCTAGCATAAAGTGCATATAAGTAGTTAAATTCTCAGTTCCTTACACTAAGCAGTCCCGTATATGAGATCTCTTGTTGGCGTGGTCATATCAGCCCCAATGTGACAAAACTTTCTCCAAAATGTCCACCACAACAGAAAAGCTGGATGACCTATGACCTAGCCACATACCTATTTGTCTATAAAACAGGTACTTCATCATTCATCTAGTATAAGAGTACTTCATAGGAGGAGTCCCTCGTGCCAAGGCAGAACTCGGCATATGCTAGCCTCGGCTAGGTCTATTCCATACCTGGATATCACGGTAGGAGAAGAGTAAATTAATGATGATGTCTGAGGTCAGAACCTCCGTATTGTCCATGCGGAGTTTGATCCGAGCCAGCTCCTTCGCCAGTTCATCGCCCTGGTATTTCTCTCTGGCTTTCCGGATGTCATTTAACAAGGTTTCTTTGTAATAAGCACTGGAGAGGGAAACACAAAAACCTCCAGTCACATCTACATGCATCCAGGACTCTCTTCTTTAGCACCAGCATGGGTCTCATTGACGGGACTTAGGCTAACACATGGGGACCTCAGGCCAGACCTGAGCCTCCCTGTACCAGCAAACAAGAACTACTTTCTACTTTTTATTCACATTTTACAGAAACTACCCAGGAAATGATGAATAGAAATCAGTTCATCACAACCTTGAAAATACATGTTTTGTTTTGTTTTTTTTCCAAAGCTGACCCTATCTGTATTCGGACAACATGCAGGACTTGCTACCCAACCTAATCCACTTCCTCTGGTCTTTCCAAACATATAGAGGGCAAGAAGGTACCTTATTGGAATATTTATTGTTCCCACTAACAACAGATTATCACAAAGCCAAAAAGAATTCCAAAAGCCATAGAACACATATGAGAACTTCTTTAAAATGAATTTCTCTATCAGGTGTCCCCAGTTAGTAGTCACAAAGCTTTCCCCAGTTGACGGAGAGCTTGTCATATTCAACTGCCAGACAATTTTATAATATAAAATATAAAACATAAAACTAAATAATACTGGGGATGTATACAAACATTTAAAACAGTTTAAATCCACACTGGAATATCACCATAGTCTCTCAAAGAGCCAATGCTAGTATGTGGTACTTGGTTTAAAACCTTGAAAACTGACTGCATTTGGTGTACAGAGGCCGACTTACAATGGCCATAGGTTGATTTAAATATCTTGTCTACTTTCCAAGTAATTTTTAAAATGGAGATTGGGTATTGCCAAGCTGTAATACTGTCAACCTATGAAGAAGTTGAAATGATCTAACTGTGGAGAGTAAAATTAGGCTGTTCATTAAAAAGAGAGTAAGCTAAATTAAAGTCTCCAGAGGAAAAAGAAAACACATAAGATAGAATAACAACAAATGGTACTTACTTTTAATTATAAAACTATGCCAAATAAATGTGCATACAGTACATAGCCTTTTCCAGTGCTCATAATAAGACCTCAGTTAGCACCTAGAGAATGAAGTGATGCCCCACAGAAAGGGTTCTTATATAAAAATATCAGTGCATCAATTTTTATTTCCATATTTGTCAACTGCTATTATGCTAATGATGAGCAAATTAGGAGATTCTGCCAGTGTTTGAAATTCTGTCATTAATCAAATGAGTCATTAAGTTGGATGACAGCCATTACCCATTTGGTGGACTATAAAGGCATAAAAAAGATACACTTTAGTCTTGTTTTCAAGGGTAATTCTGAAAAATAGTTTTAATAAACTAAGAAACCTAATAAGAACAGTACCTTTTAAGTAAATAAAACACTGACTTGAAGACATTAGATATGTAATATACATGCAGCCATTTCTGCCTCTGTAACCAAGGAAGATATTGCTAAATCAATGTAAACTTAGAAATGACTTCAAAACCCTTTTGGAACAGGACTCAAAATACTTTACAAATCTATCAGAGTTGGCACTGAAGCTAAAAACTTACCAGCCATCCCTGTTATAGATGTTTTAAACCATAAGCATCACTTACCCCTCTCGCTAACCATTGCTAGACACCTGCCAGTTCAGGGGGTTGAAACCACCAACAGGTATTTCAAGCCTTTTGAAATTAAACCAAATCAAAAGGGTTATATTCCTACTGAAATATACCTATGTACACTGAATGAGAAACAAATTAGAGTCCATTTCTCGAAAAGGCCAGATTCATCTGGCAGATTCAAGCTATCCACCTCCTTGTCAGACCCAAAAATATGGTATTGTGAACTTTCTCTCTGAACTTTACTAAAATGTTTGTTTTGCAATAAGACCATAGTTATCAAGGTGTGACTAAATGAGGTTTTCCAGAAATGTGCCACAAAATGTCCCCCATTTGCTTTCTATGTTGGCATGTGGTCACACATGTCTAGGTTTCCAGTCTTCTTTTCCCATTAAAGTCTGTAGGAGAAAGTCTGCATCCAGAGAAGAGGTGATGTGATAGAAAAAGAGAGCAGACTATTACTAAGTGTGTGCCTCATACCAACACTACAGTAGGAGCACTCCACAGTTCAGGGTGCTACTATTTGAGCCAAAGCTTGACATGAGGCCCTTCACATTTCATTGCAAGTCAGTTCTGTCAGTGCTTTGGATTTTCATTCATTTTGGAAGGACAAATCCTTCTCCTTGTGATGTAACTTAAATGAATAAATCCTTTAAATTGGCTGTAAGAGAAATAACTGGATCCTTTGGTTAAGAAGAATTTTTCTGTCTTTAACTTTTAGAATACGGACATTTGAAGGTAAATTTCTTGAGCACCGAGGCTCAGAAGAGAGCAGACTTCTTCAAGGCTACGCAGCTAGGAATCACCTAGGCCAGGATTCAAATCCAAACTTGTTCATCTCTGAGGATTCCCTTCCACCCCTGACATCAATCTAAAGAGAACATGTCACAGTACAACTTGAGGTCAGGATTGGTTGCAGAGTGACATGAAGCATGCAGGCTTTCATAGCACAGGAACTTTGGCCAGAATATCACCTTGCTGAGACATTTTAAGAATCTCAACAACTGAGGGAGTATAAAGTGATGGTCAGAAATAATCTTCAAATATAGAATCTCAGAGTTGAAAAAGATCATTACAAACATCAGTGACTTAACTTCCTTATTTTCTAGATGAGAAAACAGCCACAGAGAAGAGAAGTTAGATATCAAGGCCACACAGGGAGTCAGGGCCAGGCATGAGCCCAATCCTGACTTCCTAACTGCAGTTCTATCCTTTTTCGGCCCCACCTCAGTGGCCCAGCTTAGTGAGCTAGTAAGGGGCAATGATGGTTTCCAGGATGATTTTTGGTTTTTTTATTTTTTTTTTTCCTTTTTTTTTTTCATGTCCGGCAACGGTTCGCAACCCTCAGTGTCGCGCCCGTACCGGACCGGGACCGGCAATGGGATCGCAACCCTTGGTGTTGCGCCCGCACCTCGCTCAGCCAGTGAGCGGGAACCGGTCTGTATGTGGGATCCGAACCCTCGGCGGGAGCGCCGCCGCGCTCCCAAGCGGCGCACTGTAGCAGTGCGCCACCGGGCCGGCCCAGGATGATTTTTAAATGATTGGCTGGAGTTCCCCATTTTCTGACCACTCTGGTCATTTGAAGGTGTACCGCCTCCCTGATAGTGAAGGGAAATTTTGGCAAGGCTCCTAGGGTTGTTGGTGGCTGATGGGAATTACCATGAGGTCACGTGGATGTCCTTGAGGAGGCTGATGAACCTGTCCACCAGGGGCTCGCACAGTGGGCCCAGGAGTGTGTCCCAGTTGGGCTGCATGTACTCCGAGGCTCGCCTCTGGGCGTCACTCTCACAGCAAAAATAATCCGTGCACGGAGTCACAATGTAGGGGATGAAATAATAATTTCCACTAGATGCCTAGAAGAAAGAAACACGTTCCAGAAAGTAACCGATGTGGAAGCACAGCTGTGGCTTTAGGCAGATGGGACCTGGTGGGACAGGGAAGGAGAAAATGCCTGGGTGTGAACAACAACTTGTGTAATACAAGAGTACATGGAAAGATCCATATTACCTTCTAATTCTATTTTCCATGAATTTTTTTGAAGTACCCTCATATAACTACAAACCTATCGGGCACAAAAGAGGAAACCACTCGATTTCAAAAGCTCCACCACATAGATATATGACAACAATTTAGTTCTGAACTGACCTATATGTCTTTGAACTTCACTGGCAGAAACCTTAGGGTTTGAAGTCTCAGAAATTATATCGTTTCATTACGTGCCCGCCAGACTAGAGGGAACTTGAACCCACTGACAACCAAGGATTGACGTGGCATATTTTTCTTTCAGCATAGATGAAAAAAGCATTTCATTTGATAACTACAGGTGAATTATTATAACCTTTTTTTAAATAAAAATTGTTTTGTGGAAATCAAATATTAATAAATATGATTAGTCTCAGAGATCTTTTGAAAAAAGGATCTGTTGAATTTTTTTTGTATCATCAAACAATACTCAGGTAAAACTATCTTTTTTCTATGGAATAATTATAGTTTGACTATAAATTGTGATCCATTGTAAAGCATAAACATTACCTTTAAAGAGCATTACATCAATGCTCAAGTTTTAGCACATTTGGAGGATTACAATATATTCTTACATGACATTATTATATCAGTCAATCTTTTGTCTACAATGTCATAAAATATAACTAGCTTAAAATTTAAGACTTTTAAATTCCTATATCTCCACCAAGTTTTAAAGAATTTATATCATGCCAGAAATAATTCATCTGACTTCTTCTGTTTAATTTTTATTATTATTATTTTTTTTTTTTTTATCGTTTTTGTGACCGGTAAGGGGATGCAACCCTTGGCTTGGTGTTGCCTGCACCATGCTCAGCCAGTGAGCACACCGGCCATCCTTATATAGGATCCGAACCCGTGGCGGGAGCGCCGCTGTGCTCCCAAGTGCCGCACTCTCCCGAGTGCGCCACAGGGCCGGCCCTTCTGTTTAATTTTTAAACTGAACTAAAGTTATCTAGGTATTTTGAGATAATGCAGACATAACCTTGGAAAGTACACTTTATCAAAGAATGGGAAGTCAAATAAGGGATAAGCCTTCTGCTAAATTAAAAATAAATTTATTAATTACAGAGAAAACTGTCAGAATACCACAATCTCATATCAAACAGAAGGCTTGGAAAAACTTACAACACTGGGGGACTAGTTTCAAATAAATACATGAAGTACATTTTTAAGAAGTTTTCCTTCTGAATAAGAATGCCACTGGTCTTTGAGCAAGTCTTATTTCTATCCTAAAATATAAGTAATTGTCCTGAAACTCTTTTTTATCTTGTTGGGCATCTACAGACCTCTCCAGACATGTTTTGGACCCCAAAATGTTTGGTTAAAAAAAATTATCAGAAACATTCCACTAAAACATATTTTAGACCATGTCAGCAAACTTTTACTGCACAGGGCCAGATAATCAATATTTTTGGCTTGCAGGCCACTCAGGCTGTTGCGACTACTGCACTTTGCTATTGCAGCGTGATAGCAGCCACACACGACACATAAACACATGAGAGTGGCTGTGTGCCAATAAAACTTTATTTATGAACACAAAATTGAATTTCATATTTTTACATGTCATGAAATCATCTTCTTTTGACATTTTCCAACAATTTAAAAATGTAAAAGCCATTCTTAGCTCACAGGCCATACAAAAACAGGCAGTGGGTTAACTTTTGTCTTAGACTAAGCTTCCTGATAATATTCAATTATTCCTGAAAATAGGGTTTTCTGAGAATACTTACCCTGCTGCAAAATAGCAGCTGGAGACTATCCCTGGGGGCACCAGATATTGGCATTAAACCCCTCAAAACACAAATGCCAGTGTTATAAATAGAAAGGGCAAAAATTGAGGCATATGGGTGATAATTGGGGAGGAAGGATCATATCTGCTTCTTCACAATCACTAGGAATTACCTTTACAGAGGAACTAAGACCCTTCCCTCCCTGTAATACTTCCAAATTTTCAAAGAGACTCGAATTGCCCAGAAAACTAAGGTTTTGGTAGGTTAGAGAGAAATTTTATCCTTATCTATGCCAAGAAAGCCATACTGCTATAGTAAATTAAATGCCATTACACACTCAGAAGTTAAACTGCTTTTTCTTCCACCTGAAATTGGTTGAGATTATTGTAGAAGCCTTCCTATTTCAGACTGAGACGGAGAAAAGGGCTGTGTAAATCAGTGAGGTCTAGAAGGTAAAATATCTGAATATAGTTTGTTATTTTCAAAAAGAACTGGATTGGAGGTATGAGGAGCACCTCAAATCCTGTCCCCAGAAAAACAACTATAACTGGTGAAAATTCTTTTTTTCAAAAACATTTAAAGTCTCTGTAAATTTTCCGAAGGGCATACAGCAACTGGAGAAACATTTTATTCAAGAAAATCTATAAAACCTTGGTAAGAACAGTGAGATTCTGTAGCATTTGAGCTATAACCTGCTCTGACCCGACTCCCAGCCCAGAGTGACAGAAGTTCTACTATAGGTGGATGCAGCAAAGAAGATGGGTCTCCCTGTCACCCCCAGTCTAGGGTGACATTTTATCCCTGGGAAGGCCAGGTCATCAATGTTCTTATCCACCACAGCCTGATGTTGTAGATGTTCTATTCCAGGGAAGTGTGGATGAGAGGACTGACCAGGGCTCCCTTTCTCCATCCAGCCCCTACTTGTAGGGCAGAAGCTCCACCCTAGGTGAAGCAGGCCAAGAATACTAGGCCCTGATTGTCCTTGCCCCATGTCATTCACAGGGTGAAGGTACTACACCAAGAGAGGCAATCTAAGATGACCAGGGATTGTCATTCCTGCCCAGTGCACCCCACTCCTAAAGCAGGGTGTCACCCCAAGAGAAGCAGGCTGCTGTCCCCACTACCAGCTCCAGAGCAGTGATGCAGAACTCTGCCTGGGGAGAGGCAGGCTGTAAGAGCAGAGAGTTCTGCAGCTTGCTATAATGGAACTGACTTTGTATGGAACACAGCATGAGGAAGTTCAAGCTTATGGGCACTATAAAAAAAAAATCACGGAGATTTTGGTGGCAAGAAAGTAAGAGAAGGCTGGTAGCTCCATGATAGCAATAAGTTCAAGGTAGAACAGCTAGAAATTTAACAGATAGCTAAGAGAAGCCTTCCTAAAGTCAGAGCAAGCCTCAAGGACTGAACTTAAAAACCACTCCTGCACAGGGGCCAGACTTTAATCATATTGGACTGTGGAACAGTTTATATCTCAGGACATTGTCAAAAACAATAGAGCAATCAGTTAACAAGAGAGACTAACAACTGGGTCTAATCCCAATACAGAAAGATCAGTCAGAAACTTTACAGGGAGACTAAGGAAAGAGAAAGTCAAAGAGAGCCCTGCTGCAACCACTGTCATCCCTGGGGTTAGAGTAACTGTGCACATGCCCAAGGCTGCACCCTCTAAGGAGTGACATCAGAGTCTGCATACTGCAGAGAAATTGACTTCACTAAACTAGTCCAGCCAAGTCATAAAACAAATAAACAAACAAACAACAAAAACAACATGCTCCAGAGGGGTGGGGGATAAGTATCCAGAGTTGCTATACTACCTAAAATGTCCAGTCTTCAACAACAAAAAAATATGAAACATACAAAGAAACATTTCCATATACAGGAAAACCAGTAGGCAATAGTAACTGCCTTTGAAAGGATCCAGATATTGAACTTAGCAGACAAAGACTTGAAGGTAGCTGTTACAAATATATTCAAAGAACTAAAGGAAACCATGCTCAAAAAATTGAAGGAAGATATGGTGACAATATCTGAAACAGAAAATATCAATAAAGAGAAATTACAAAAAAAAGAACCAAATGGCAATTCTGGAGTTGAAAAATACAATAACCAAAATAAAAAATTCACTGAAGGGACATGACAGGAGATTTGAGTGGCAGAATAAAAAATCAGCAAACTTGAAGATAGATCAATAGAGATTATGCAATCTAAAAGACAGAGAGGGAAAAAAGAGTGAAGAAAAATGAACAGAGCCTTAAAGAAATGAGGGACACCATTAAGCGTATTGACATATATGACACATAATGGGAGTCGCAGAAAAAGAGGAGAGAATGGAGCAGAAAAATAGTCAAAAAAACAATTGTTGAAAACTCCCCAAATCTGATGAAAAACATTAAATATACATATCCAAGAAGCTAAACAAATTCCGAGTAGGATAAAGGCAAAGAGGTTTACACCCAGACACATCATAATCAAAATTCTGAAAGACAAAGACAGAGAGAAAATCTTGAAAGCAACGAGAGAAAAATGTCTTGTTATGCACAGGGTAACTCCAATAACATTAACATCTAACTTTTCACAAGAAAAATGAAGGCTGTGGGATGACATATTCGAAGTGCTGGGGGAAAAAAAAGTCATCCAAGAATATTATATCCACCAAAACTACCTTTCAAAAATGAAAGTGAAATAAAGACATTTCCAGATAAACAAAAACTGGGGTAATTTGGTGCTAGCAGACTCATCTCGCAAAAATACTAATAAAGTTCTTCAGGCTGAGAGCAAGTGACACAAGACAGTAATTCTAATCCACATGATAGAACCAAAGAATACCAGTAAAGGGGGTTATGTAGAAAATTATAAAAGACAGTATAAACACAAATTTCTTCTCTTAAGTGATTTAAAAAGTAATTGTGCAAAATGATGTGTATAATCATATTCTGAGGCTTATAACATATGGAAATGTAACATATTTGACAATAACAGCAAAAAGAATACAGGTAGGAACAGAGCTGTATTGACATGAGGAAATGACACCAAGTGGTAACTTGAATCCACAGAATAAATGAAAAGAACCAGAGGTAAATAAAAAAGTTAATATA